TCAGCTTCACAAGAAGATAACGCCACACTTTCTTGCTTCATTGAACACCAAGTAATAGGGCTTTCTCCCAAATAAAAGATGTGACCTGTTACACTTCTTCCATCGTCGATATCCACATTCAGAGAGCTGTCACTATATCCCATAAGTTTTTTCTCAGAAGCACGCTTATAGGTGAGACCATAAGAGAGAGTACCACGCAAGTATCTGAGGACCTATTTCAACGCAGCATCATGAGATTCCTTGGGGTCAAGCATATATCTGCTCAGAACTCCGACATAATATGACAGATCAGGACGAGTGTGAATCAAGTATCTCAAACACCCAATACTTCTTCTGTAGTTCTTCTCATCAACACTGTGCTCTTTAACTGCTTTTGATAAATTCAGGTTCATATCCATCTGTACATGAGTGGCATTACATTCATTCATCCCTGTTTCAACCAGAATCCTTGAGGCATATCTCTCTTATCTCAATGTGATCCCATCTCCATTCATTCATTCATTCATTTATTATACATGTTGTTTTATGATAATTTGTATCTTGTTATAACAAAAAATTAAACTACTGATTAGAAAATATTTCATGTTGAACTTTTAACAATTTTAGTAATTTAAATTTGTTTAAAAAATTCAAAATATAACATATACGAAAAAATCTAAATTTTATTATATGGTAAATATGATTTTTGGTTTATTTTAATAATATAAATTAGACAAGATGATGAAAGATTGTTACCAAATCTTTTATTATTCACAATCATTAATTACAATATATATTGTGATCATATTTGGTAATTACGTACCTTTATTTATGGAAATAAAGAATACTTTATTTTTGAACATAATAATTAATTTGTGGTAAGTTTAATAAAAAGTATAGTATATATTTAAATGGACCAACTTAATTCTCTAATGATTCTAATAATCATTCTGATGATGACACGTGTCATAGTTCAAATGTTGTAATGTTTCTCTTTTAATATATAAGGATACATAATCAGTTATAATTGTGTTTTATAGAAGAGAAGAAACACCCATGCGCCCAATATAAAATGACAAATAATTAATGTGACATATCATTTTGATTATATTAAAACCAATATAAATAACTAAAACCATGTACAAATAATTAAAATACATAATCAGTTATAGTTGTCCTTTATAGAAGAAAAACAAATACCCGCACACATAAAAATCTAGTTTATGAATGTTTTGTTATTGGGCTTCTATCTCTCTTATGTACCAATTTTGTTTTCATACACATTACGGTGGGCACTTTACCGGATATCCGAACTCGTACTCGAACTCGATCCAAAATATTCGAATCGAAATCCGAACCGAAGTAGCAAAATATCTGAATGGGTATTGAATTAAGAGAGTTTAGATATCCGAACCCGAACGGATAATACCCGAACCCGAATGGATATCCAAAGATAACCGAACATATGTATAGATACATATTTTCTTCTTAGTTTATTTATCTCATTTTATTTAAAATATTTATATTAGTGTTGTATATAACTTAAAATCAGATTATATACATATAACTTAAAAAAATGATTTGCTATTTATTTAAAATGCATGTTAAGCTTTTTATTTCATGTGTTTAACAAAATAACAACTAAATTAATGATTTTCTATTTTCAATAATTTATTTTTAAACTTAGTAGTCGTTATTTTATTAAGCATTTAAAAAAAATTAACTTAATAGTAAAATTTTAAGTACATAAAACTTAAGCAATGAAGAACTTGAATTTCTTTTCCAAAATCTAAATATCCGAAATCGACCTGAAATAACCGAATCCGAATCTGACCCGATATGTAAAAATATTCGAACGGATACTAGACACCAATGCCGAAATAACCGAAAACTTGAAATACCCGACCCGAACTGGTATCCATACCCCCACCCCTACACATTAGATTTAGTGAAAATAGTTAACAAAAAAAAAGATGATGATTTTGAATTTGAGCTATAAACCTAATTAAATGGGCCCGTCAATGGGCCGAGAGAAAAAAAAAAAGTAGAAATCGCTGATTAGAAGTTCCTTTGATGAGTGTTCTGTGAGGTAAAAGTTCTCCAACACCTGTCGAATCGATGATCAAAACTTTTGCGCTAGCTTCTGCCCACCGCATCTTTAGTCCCAAATACCTATCAACAACCTTCTCATCTTCCCATCACATCCTCAGATTCTCAATCTCAGCAATGGCCGGAGCTGAGTTTGTTAAAGGAAACGTTCATCCAAATGGTGTCGCTGTCATCACTCTCGATCGAACCAAAGCTCTCAACGCCATGAATCTAGGTTAACTATTCCCGCGTGGTATTAATTAATGTCAAGAATCTATAAAAAGTTGCAGAAACTTTGTTTCAATTTTTTTTTTTTTATTTGATTGTTGCTGCTTTGCTGTGTGTTTTAATTTTTCCAATCATCAGACTCACTAACCTCTGCGAGATTTTTTTGAAAATTTTATAGCCTTTGTTGAGTGATAATTATCATTATGTGAATTTTAATGTGACAAGTAAACTTAGCTGGTCATGCATAATATATATATGACAGAGATGGATTTGAAGTATAAAAGCTTCCTTGACGAATGGGAATCTGACCCAACAGTCAAATGTGTCCTCGTTGAAGGCAGCACACCTCGTGCCTTTTGTGCAGGTAAAATTTGCTATTTTTCAATTCGTTTATCCCTATGAGAAGGTTTTTTGGAGTGATTATTTTATGAAATGGTGCAGGGATGGATATTAAAGGAGCTGCTGCAGAAATCCAAAAAGACAAGAATACACCTCTTGTGCAAAAGGTTTCTAAATATAAAGATGATTCTTTCTTTGCTGCTCAAACATATTAAGTTGCTAGAATTATGCAATATAGTGAGTTTTTTGCATCATAGGTGAGTGAGACAACCAAAAGAAAATATGACCATGGTCGTAGGATGTAATTTGTTAGATTTCATCCAGGTCTGCTTGTGTGCTCGCTATCATCACTCATCACTAATATGGACCCAATCTATAAAAACAGAAGAGTAAACAAGATACCCAAACTTATGTGAAATCATCTCAGTACTTTGGTTCATACCTTAGATAAACAATACTCGTACATCAGAACATGCTCTATGTGTTGCAGTTTATCTACCGAACATAATGAATTACAAGTATTTGTAGGCCTCGTTTATGTCATAGTCACCTTCAATTCTTAGTGTTTTTGGTAGCATGTCTCCAACTTTGAGAATTTTTGCTTCCTTAGGTATTTACAGCAGAATATACCCTGATATGCGCAATTGCTGGTTACAAAAAGCCATATATCTCATTAATGGATGGAATAACAATGGGATTTGGCCTTGGTCTTTCTGGACATGGTCGCTACCGTGTGATAACTGAGGTACAAACAAATCAAGACCTGTCTCTGCTCTGTTATGTAGCTAGTGATTGGAATTACATTCTGAACTCTTTTTTCACATTTTGTTTTCTATTCCAGAGGACGGTTCTTGCCATGCCGGAAAATGGAATCGGGTTGTTCCCAGATGTCGGGTTTTCATATTTAGCAGCTCATAGCCCCGGTGGAGGAGCTGTTGGTATGTTCATATGAAATTCCTAAACTGGCTGCTATTTGAGAAATGCACAAGATTTAGTGAAAAACGAATATGTTCGTTTAAAAAAGCCTTCTGAATTTTGTATTACTCAATGCCAATATTAATATCTGCAGGGGCTTATCTTGGTTTAACTGGAAAAAGGATCTCCACGCCGTCAGATGCATTGTTCGTTGGTCTTGGGACGCATTATGTGCCATCTGAAAAGCTATCTTCTTTAAAAGAAGCCATTTTGTCAGCCAACCTGTATGTCCTCCCCTTTTTGACTTCCTTCCTTTTTCTTTCTGTCAAAAGGGAACCTTTTTGTTTCATTTCTCTTATAGTAATAGGCTTCATGGACTCTGTATAACATCTTTCTTTTCATTAATGTTGCATATCTCTGTTTTATCTATCAAAGAACTCATACATGTCGGTGATGCAGGTCGGAGGATCCTAATCAAGACATCCAGGCAACTTTGTCGAAATACAGTGGGAATATTGAATCTGAGGCACATCTCAAATCGCTTTTGCCTCAAATAGAGTCAGCCTTTAGCTCAAATAAGTCTGTTAAGGAAACAATAGAGGAGCTCAAAAAGTATCAGCAAAGCACTGAGCCTTCAGGTAGGATTGGTTATCCATGGGCATATTATTGTACTAATGCTCATAGAGCCTTATTATTCCGAGTTAAAAAGGGTTGCTGCCTTACCTTTTGTTTGGATACATACAGTTGTAGAATGGGCTAAAGAGGCACTCAAAGGTTTGGAGAAAGGAGCACCGTTTTCTCTTTACCTAACACAGAAGTACTTCTCAAATGTTGCATGTGCCAAGAGTAAAGCTGAGAACGAATTAGCAACAGTGAGTTTCAACCCTTGAGTTCTTTTTATGTTTTTCCTCATCTAAAAGACTCTAAGACGAATATTAAGCTCGTGTATTAATATCCTTCGTGAAGCTTAATGGTGTGATGAAGACTGAATATCGCATCGCACTAAGATCAGCCTTGCGTGGTGATTTTGCTGAAGGCGTTAGAGCAGTATTGATTGACAAGGATCAGGTTAGTTTATATTTGCCCTCAAATTTTCGCTGTTGTTGTTGCCTATCAAGTTCAAATAAAACTGATACAATTTGGCTATTGCAGAATCCAAAATGGAACCCCGCAAGCGTTGAAGAGGTAGACGAGAACGAGGTGGAAGCTCTCTTTAAACCGTTAAGTTCAGAAGTGGAAGAGTTAAAGGTCTGATTCTCGTTTTGCTTTCTGTTCAAAAGTGTGTCCACAAAATAAACAAATCTTTCTTTATCCCATGTGTGTTCGAAGATACTGTTACTGTAACATCTTCAATAAGAATAGCACTTACGTTCGAACATAGGTGTAGATTCATCTTCAAAATGCCATTGTATTGAAACTTTGAGGACAAAAGTAGAAGATGAAAAAAATAATCAAGAAGAGGACGCCGAGTTGTCATAAGTAGATCCGACGTGGTTGATTACGAATCCATAGATTTTGCGTTTCAGCCGCTCTATCTTGTCGGTTAAAGACATTGTTGTGATCCTGTCCAACCACTCGTTAACTTGTTTCAGACGAGACAGAACAGCAGCTATGGAACTACCGTCTAAAGGCTGCTCTGCTGCGTTTTTCTTGTCTAAGGACTCTTCCACGAACCCAATGAACCACATTTGCATTTCGGATTGTACGTTCACTGCAAATTCAGCCGTCTCCTTCATGCCTTCTACTTCTGTCCACATCCCAACAATATTGTCTGAAACAGATATTAAAACAGTCTTTGTATCTTTTTACGTTGAATGAGAATGCAAATTTGTTTCAACTGAAGAACCCAAACCTGTCTTTGTCGAGCATCCTGGAGAGAGGCGAGTAGGAGTTGTTTTCTTCAAAGGTGATTCGTGGCTTTTCACCAGTGAGACAACGTCGAGGTTAGTAGCTAATGCAGCTTCAACCCAAAGAGAACATGGGTTTTGTTGATCAGGTGAAGAATGAAAACTGCCTTCTGAAGCTATGGAGTTAACGATCTCACTGTATTTCATAACATCTTCATATATTTCCAAGAACTGCCTGATGATCAGCAGCGGATTCCCAACTTTAGAGGCCGAAGAAAGCTCAGAGAATTTACTGAAATGTTCACCAAAAAGAGATGGCGTCAAAAATCAAAAGAAAGTCTAAACGAGACTGATTGACAAAGTTTCTACCTTAAACATCTTATGATGCACTCATTGGCATTAGCTTCCTCCAAGGCTCGAGCTGCAGCTTTAGCAGCAAAGTTTCTTCTTTGCATGGCCTCCTGTAAAAGAGTCAACATACAATCAAATGAGGATACACTTAACTCAAGAGATGTATAGCTAAAACACTTACCTTTGCAAGTTTTGCAAGATCCCCTGAGATGCTATCTAATGGAACACTCCCATCTGTCCATTTCCGATCATGATAAGTGATGTCTACTAAACTACTCTCTGATGAACACGACTTCACTTTCTCTTCACTCTTCCTCCTATTTGCATCACTAAGACGTCTCGACATAGCAGCCTGAAACAAACGTACAAATATCAATTCCAAACCATCATACAGAGCAAGTATCAACCAGAACACAAAGGTGAGAGATTTGCTTGTTACCTGAGTACGCAAAATTGCTTGAAGCTCAGGCTTATTCTTAGCACTAGCCTTCTCCTTTTGCTCAGCTGGTTCATCCCAATTCTTCCGGGTACCATGTTTAGCTGAAGATCCCACAAGAGCCTCCGCCATCTTCTTCTTCCCGAAAGAATCTCCAGACATTTTCAGACCACTTGAAAGCCTTCTTCCTGGAGAAATCGACATTCTTCTTCCACTAGGAGATGGCTGTCTGTATCTTGACGGCACAACAATGGCTGCCTCTCTACCAACCTTCCTGTTCTCCTCACGCGCCGCCGCGAGACTCGGCACTACGCATTTTGATGGAACCGGAGACGCGGATCTCCTCGCTTTCCCCGAAGCCAACGCCGGGGATGGATCCCTCTCCACCGCCGTCACTGTGTTTTTCTTCCCTGAACGTTGCTTAGCCGATGCTGGTGACGAGAATCTTTGTGGAGTCTGCTTAGGTTTCTGACGGTTCTCCTCGTTTTGGCTCACCGGAGCAAGCGCTGGCCTCAAATTCGGAGCCACCGCCACATCATCATCATCATCATCATTATCGAAGCGTTTATTGTTTAAGTAAACGGCGATGGGGTCAAGCGAGTACTCAGAAGCGGGAACCGGCTGGACAACGAAATCTCGTTTAGATCCGCGTGCGATCAACGGCTCGGGAGTTCCGACGAAGGCGTGACGGCCAGCGACGGGGCGGATTCCGGCGGCGCGTGGGACGGGGGTGGAGAATTCGAGGCGTTGGAGGTAGATGAACTGGCCGAGCTGAAGACGGTTGGTGAGGATGAGATCTGGGGAGAGAGAGACGTAGGTGGAGTTTAGAGAGTCGGAGATCTGGACGTAGAAGCCTTGGTTTGGCCATAGATCGGAGCCGGCGAGGGCTGGTACTATTCCGGTTACTTGAAGGATTGCGGATCTGTGGTCTCCCGTGGGGCGTGTGTTGGAGTTCATGCACTGGAGGAGCTTCAGGAGGATCCCTGGTGTGAGAGACGCCATTCTTTTTGGTGAGGTCTGCGAGTGTGATGTGAGAAATTGGGATGAAGAAGAAGGTATTGGGGGTTTCTGCCGTTATGAAATTCAAATTTTGAAATTAAAGTCTCTTTTTTTTTTCATTTAAAAAATTTGTTATTTTGAATTTTTTTGTTACATAATGTTGTGCGTGTGATGTGTTCAAAAAAAAAAATGTTGTGCGTGTGATTGGCGGTTGGTATTGATCTAGCAACTTAACATAAAAAAAACTGGGGAATGTTTAAGGATTTATTTTTGATATTTTACGGAAATATTGCCATATTTAATATTACATTTGCACTAGAATGTATATTGAATTACTTTATTTTAAGGATTTAAGAAAAAACCTCTTTTTTTTCTGTCAACCGCTCATCTAAACTAATCAAATGGTGGTCAGTTAAGCCAATTATCCGAAAAGCACCTCCGTCTAACCGGATCTAATCTATATGGGAAAAGATATAACTTATGATCCTTGCTTCTATTGCAAGTGCATCTGCTCGACCATTCATATTTCGAGGAATATGAAACAAACTCACATCCTCGAAATCCTCTTGTAATCTCTGGAACACTTCGATCTCAGTCGTGAAACTCGGCCAATCCTCCGGGTTTGTAGTCATGTCGACTAAGTCCAAGCAGTCCGTAACAAATCGTATCGAAGTTATCCTCATGTCTCATACATGAGGCTGCCTAAAGTAAACCTTCCATCTCAATATGCAAAACTGAGAGGTTCCTTCTACACGCACGTAATCCGAAGACTTCAGTGATAACATATAAGAATCAGAAGCATTTGAGTTGAGAAATTTAGAAAGAGAGAGAATTTCGTGAGACAAGAAGAATAGAAGGAGGAAAATATTTTCCTTAATTAAATCAATGTGCATTACAACAAAATAAATAGGCAAGTGGTCTGAAATAAAAATAATTAAAATAATACAAGTTGGTACACAACAGTCAAATGCACGTGGGGAAGGGCAGAAGAAGAGAATTTGAATTTGCCCATATGGTCTCCTTCCATCATGGTCAAGCTTTGCACCCATGGTCATCGTATTTGTAGTTGATCATATGGTCAAGCTTACCGGTGGCGAAGGCACTCCCCTTTGGGCGGAAATTGCAGCCCCTCTTTCGCTTGGTCAATTAGGGTATCATCGCTCACCTTCCGTCATGGTCACCCTTGCACCAATTGTCATTGTATTTGAAGTTGACCAATGATCAAGCTCTTCATGGTCACGCTTGCACCAATGGTCATCTTATTTGTAGTTGACCATATGGTCAAGCTCTTCATGTTCACGCTTGTACCAATGGTCATCTCTTCTTATCTTAGTAATTCATTCATGTCAACACTCCCCCTCAAGCTTGACCATGTAGAACAAGTTAAGCTTGGAAGCCATGAAGCAATCCCTCATTAAAACCTTAGTTAAGTAAAAACCAAATGGGATAAACCTAAGCCAAGGAAAAAGAGTAGATCACTTCATGGAGGATAATCTAGTGACATGGGAGTTCTATGAGTCCTAACCTCGGATGTATGGACTCACACACTTTAATACTTGCTGTCTTGGTGAAGATATCAGCTAACTGGTCTTCACTTCTTGTGTAGCATGGTAGAATCACTTTTTGTTCTACAGCTTGTCTAACCTTGTGGCAGTCTACTTCAATATGTTTGGCTCTCTCATGGAAGACTGAGTTGCTGGCTATATGAATGGCAGCCTGGTTATCACAGTGCATTGTGATAGGTGTTGTGATCTTAATTCCCAAGTCCTTAAGCAGTGCCTTCATCTATATCAGCTCACTTGTAAGCTTTCTCATTGCACGATATTCTGCCTCAACACTTGAGCATGAAACCACCTTTTGTTTCTTGATCTTCCACGTTACCAAATTACCTCCAATAAATGTGCAATATCCAGTAGTTGATCTCCTATCAACTCTATTTCCAGTCCAATCAGCATCACAATAACCAACAATCTCAGCACTCTTGTTGCAACTCATCCAAACTCCTTGTCCTGGTGCTTCGCTTAAGTACCTTAGGATTCTTTCAACTATGTTCCAGTGGTGTGTTTTAGGAGCTTGCATATGCTGGCTCACTTGATTAACTGCAAAGCATACATCTGGTCGAGTGATAGTAAGGTATATGAGTTTTCCCACCATCTTCCTATAGTGTTTCACATCTCCATATGCCTTATCTTCAATCTTCCCCTCACGCATCACCTTGTACCCTTCCTCTAGAGGAGTCTTAGCAGCTCTTCCACCAAGATCACCAGCTTCATTTAATATATACAGAGTATATTTTCTTTGAGACAGAAACAGTCCCTCCTTGGATCTGCACATTTCTATCTCTAGAAAATATTTGAGCTCTCCCAAGTCTTTGATGTCAAAAGTTGCTTTGATAAATGCCTTAGTGGAGCTGATCCCTTCTTTGTCACTGCCTGTGATGATAATATCATCCACATATATGAGAATCACAATGATCCCTTGCTGACTGGTGAGAGTAAACAAAGTGTGATCAGCTTCAGATTTCACAAATCCTCTTCCATTTGTGATACCATGCTCTTGGAGATTGCTTCAGACCATAGATTTCTTTCCTCAGCCTCAATACATTACCAGGTTTGACCATGCCTTCTATCCCTGGTGGCAGTTGCATATATACTTCATCTTCTAGCTCTCCTTGCAAGAATGCATTCTTGACATCCATTTGCCACAGATCCCATTCCAAATTCACAGCAAGAGACAACAAAATCCTTATGGTGTGAAGCTTTGCCACTGGTGCAAAGGTTTCAAGATAATCTTCACCATATACTTGAGTGTAGCCTCTTGCTACCAACCTGGTATTCTTCCTCTCAGGTTTCCCATTGGCTAAGTACTTAATTGTGAACAACAACATGCTTGTCGCTGCCTTCTTGCCTGTGGGAAGTTCAGTTTCAAACCAGGTTCCATTTTTCTCCATAGCTCCCATCTCATCTCCTACAGAATCTCTCCATTCCTTAACTGCCATAGCCTCCTCATAAGTCCTTGGAATGTAAGCCTCATCAAGGTTGGGGATGAAGGCTTGATGCTCTATAGGATAATGGGCAATAGAGCATGTTGCACGAGTAGGTTGAGCCACAGCTTGACTGTTGAAGTAGTTTGATGGGTGATTCCTGACCCTTGTGCTACTCCTAAGCTATTGGACTGGCTGTACTTCTTCAACTTGTTCTTCCCCATCAGATTCTGCCTCTAGCTCTTGAATAAATGGTTCCTTAAAATTGTTTTCATCCTGATCATGAACCTCTTGTTCTTGACCAGTATGGATATCATCTTGATTTCCTTCTCTTATTTCTGACCCCTCTTGATCAGTAGGAGACTCCTTTTGATTCCCCCCTTCAGAATTAGGATGAAACCTCAGCATCCTCCACAGGTACTGGTCTTGGCTCCGGACCAGTGCTCATATTAATACCAAGGCTCTCCATGATGTGCTTCAGGTTTTGAGCTCTATCTGAGGCTCCTTTGGATAGATCCTTGAGTTCCTCTCAGTTCTTTCCATCAAAGTAGCCTCTGGACTCAACAAACTTCACATCTCTGGACACCATGACTCTCCTAGTCTCTGGTACATAGCATTTGTATCCTTTTTGAGTGGTAGAGTAGCCAATGAACACAACCTTGACACTTCTTGCTTCCAACTTGTTCCTATGCTCTCCTGGTTGCAACACAAAGCACACACACCCAAATACACGTAAGTAATCTATGGATGGTTTTCTTTTGTTCAATACCTCATATGGTGTAGTGTCCTCAAGCACTCTAGTTGGAGTCCGGTTGATAAGGTAGCAAGCTGTCATGACTGCATCACTCCAAAAATGCTTAGGCATGTTGGTATGGAACATCATCGACCTAGCAACCTCCATTAGGTGTCTGTTCTTCCTCTCAGCCACTCCATTTTGTTGTGGAGTGTATGGATAGCTGGTTTGATGAATGATCCCATGCTTGGCAAAGTGACTTTTGAATGCAGCACTTGTGTATTCCCCCCCCCCCATTATCTGACCTGAATATTTTGATCTTAACATTGAAATGATTAGTTATGTAGCTCTGGAAATTAATGAAAGCATCAAGCACTCTATCTTTAGTTTTAATCATAGTTAACCAAGTGTAATTAGATTTTTGATCAATAAATGTGACAAAATATCTATGACTCTCTCTAGAAAGGCATGGTGCTGTCCAGACATCAGAATGTATAAGATCAAAACAATTTTCATAGATAGTAGATGACTTAGGGAAGACAGTTTTGCAGTGTTTACCAAGGATACAAGCTTCACATTCATCATTTTTGAAAGAAACATGAGGTAATAAAAGGTTCAGTGCACGAGTATGTGGATGACCTAGCCTAGCATGCCACAATACATCATTATCTAAAACATGAATTGAACTAAAAGCAGATAAATTAGAACTGGTCTTGATGTCTTCAAGTAGGCACAAGTCCTCCTTTGTAACACCTTTTCCAATCAACTTAAGAGTCTCAATATCCTGAAACATAACCTCATTAGGACTGAATATTACATTGCAATTTAAATCAGTAGTCACCCTTTTAACTGATAGTAAATTTGATGCAAAGGTTGGCATGTAAAATGCTTTGGTATCTCTATCAAACAGTTTTATTGGTCCTTCACCTTTAATAGGGATTCTATCTCCATTAGCAATTCTAACATTCCCCACTATAGGTTTAATGTTATTAATCAGCTTAGCATCACTAATCATGTGGTGAGAAGCTTCTGAGTCTATTACTAAAGGTTTAACCATATCAAATGCATTCATATTTGTGGTTAGAGCACTAGGTGTTCTAGACAATTTATATGATGCATTTAGAGAGAAACCGAGTGTGTTACCAGACTCTTTTAGGGCTTTGATGAGTGCCTCAAGGTCAGACTTCTTGATGGTCTCATCCTTTCTCTCACCAGCATTCCTAGTGACCCGTGGAGTAGATGGTTCGCCTACATCACCAGAGAAGTTAGCTCTTGCATCAGTTCTGAACTTCTGTGGCTTGAGATGTGGGTGAAGAATCCAGAACTTGTCCCTGCCATGTCCCTTCTTCTTGCAGTGATCACACTCCCACACCTTTTTATCAGCTCCGGGTGGTTTGTAATAGCCTTTGTTTGCAGCACCCTCAACATGGTCGTCTGCTCCAGTGGCTTTGTTTGCAAGAATGAGGTCTCCTTTGCCTCCAAAGAGCTCCACTGAGCCTTGTTCTTTTTGT